TCCATTTCTGTGCTGATTTCATTCCATAATCTGTCTTGGATGATTCTATTGCTATGCTCTTTATCGGTAAAATCGTAAATAGATTTTCTTAAAAAAACAAGATTGATCAATTTCTCTGGATCGCATCCCATTTTAAAATAATTATGAAATATTTATAAAGTATAGTATTAAGTATTAAGTATTATATTAGTATTAAGTATAAAATCATAAAAATCTGAGTGACGCCAAAATAACGAGTGATCAGTTGTAAGCTATTCGTATAAATAAACAAATGTATACGATTACATAACATTTTCATATTTCGCTCGAAGCAAAAATAGAACCAGACCGAACAAGACCGATCATGTTTCGTTTTGTCTTGTCGTGTGTTGATGTTGACTGATTAGTGTGCGCCGCGTCACTTACTTTACATATGTTATAATTGCCTACAAACAGCTCCGAGCTGCTCCAAGCATCAGTGTGCGCCCGGCCTTATACAGCAACACAGTTACCATCTTTTGTTTACCATTTTTTGTATTTATTTAGTTACCTTTTTCCTATAGTTTTTAAGTTACACACAAATACGCATACACACCTACACACCCACCACACCACATAGTCGGACAGTACTTGCGCGGCGACCCCAACCACTGCTGTCCGATCTATTAACAATATACACACATACACACAGTGTGCCGGCGCGATCGTACATAAAGGCGGCGTACACGGTATATTAGCGACCGGGCGCGCGTAATATTAATTTACGCTCCCGGCGCGTACAACAACAACAACAACTATTAACCAAAATAGCCCTTCTCAGGACTCCACGACAAGGGATTCAACCCGCATTATGCAAATAAACGTAGAAGGCATCAGCAAAGCGAAATCCGAAGTACTAGAAATTCTTCTGTTAGAGCAAAACGTAGACATATTACTGATACAAGAAACACATACAAGTGATGAAGAACAACTTTCGAAGAGAGGTTTTATCAACGGATATACAGTAGCTGGAGCGACTTATCATAGTAAATATGGTACAGCAACTTATGTAAGGAAAAACCTAAAATGGAAATTTATACAGGCAACTGATTATAACAACATATTTATAATCCAAATAGAAATTAATAATCTGAGCGTTTCTAACATCTACAAACCACCGAACATTAGCTGGACATTACTCATGACTCTCAATATTCAACATCCCTCTGTAGTTATGGGTGATTTCAATAGTCACCATACTACATGAGGATATAATGACTCAGACAAAAACGGAGAAGATCTTACACAATGGTTTGAAGCCGAAGACTTAACATTCATCTACGATGCAAAATCAAAAGGTACATTTCACTCAGCGCGATAGAATCGAGATTACAACCCTTACCTGTGTTTCGTCTCTAAAGATGAAGAAGGGAACCCTCTAGAGTTACACAGAAATGTTCTAACAGATTTTCCGCACTCCCAACACAGACCAGTCATTGAAATAGGCATCGACATCCACTATATTAACTCGATACCTAAACCAAGGTAGAATTTTCAAAAAGCAAACTGGCCTGCCTTTACGAAAACTCTCGAAGGTAGCGTACGCTGGATACCTCCTACCAATGGAAATTACCATCGCTTCTCTAAACTGATAAATAGCACAGCCAAAAAGTTTGTCCCAAGGGGTGTAAGAAAAACCTATATCCCTAGTTCTAACGGAGAGTGCCAACAACTATATACCAGGTATACAGAGACTAATAGTAACAATGATGCAACGAAATTAATACAAGCTTTCAATAATCAACGCAAAGAAAAATGGTTGAATCTTGTTGAACATACTGACTTTAAACACTCAAGTCGGAAATCATGGGCCCTTCTCCGAAAGCTTGGTGGAAACGGCAAATATAATGTAAATAAAGAAAAAAAAAATCAAGTTAACCCCAATCTTGTAGCTAATCGTATTGTAAACCTATCTAGAGCAACACCAGATAAACAAGCCACCAAGAATATAAAATCAAAACTTAGAAACCTAAAAATCGTATCCAAAGAAAGGACAGCACAATCAGCCTCATTTTCGATTGAAAAAATAAGTGAAGCCATACTTATGATAAAATCTAGAAAAGCGGCAGGACTCGACAATATTTACTCTGAATTTATAAAACATACTGGACTTAGAGCAAGAGCGTGGCTTCTTTAATAATATACTTACAAATACAAAAATCCCTACAATTTTTAAAAAATCAAAAATCATAGCAATCTGCGAACCCGGAAAGCCTACCAACGCAGCAGATAGTTATCGTCCAATTGCTCTCCTTAGTGTGTGTTATAAATTATTGGAACGCCTTGTACTGAACCGAATTGGACCTACCATTGATGCCAATACACCAATCGAACAAGCCGGATTTCACCCTGGCAGAAGCTGCACGGATCAAATTGCAGCTCTCACCACCTACATTGAAAAAGGGTTCCAAAATAAGAAAAAGACAACAGCCGCGTTTATAGATCTAACAGCTGCATATGACACCGTATGGAGAGAAGGTCTATTGTTCAAATTTCTGAAAACTACCAAATTTCTGACGTTCCACAATCTTTTAAATGAAATGCTAACGAATCGATATTTTAAAGTCCATTTAGGAGCCTCCCAAAGCTCGACGAAATAACTAAATAATGGACTACCCCAGGGATCAGTACTGGCACCGACTCTGTTTAACATCAGAGCACAATCTCTCGAATATTTGCATACGCAGACGACATTACGGTAGCTATACAACATGAAAAATTTGAAAATAATGAAGCCATACTCAACCAAGATCTAGAAAAACTTAGAAAATACTTCCAACAGTGGCGCCTTAAACCAAACATACAAAAAACAGAAGTTTCAACTTTCCATTTAAACAACAAATTAGCAAAACACCAACCAACTATTACATTCGGAAATCAAATACTAGCATATAACCCTACCCCCAAATATCTTGGAGTTACCCTTGATAGAACACTCACGTACAAAAATCACCTACAAAATACCGCTGCAAAAATAAGGACAAGGAACAACATCATTCAGAAGCTCGCTGGCTCAACTTGGGGAGCCTCAACCGAAACCCTTCGGACATCTGCTCTAGCTCTGGTCTACTCAGCTGCAGAATATGCTGCCCCTGTATGGCTAAATAGCGCATACTGTTCAAAAATCAATGTACGACAACTCAACCATGCGTATCATCACAGGCGTAGTAAAAACTACCCCCACACAGTGGCTTCCGGTGTTATGTAACATACATCCACCTCATATCCGACGCTTGACAGCTACAATGAGAGAATGGTTTAAATATAAGCACTATGAAAAACTCCCAATAAATAAAGATATACCTACGAATCGCACTTTGAGACTCAAGTCGAGGAAACCTGTCTAATAGCGAAAGACCTCATTGAAAACAAATTCAACGGAGTTAACGACTGGAGATCAAAATGGAGTCTATCAAACCCCGACAGTCATCAACTAATCATTGACCCATGCTCCCAAGTACCAGGCTTCTCACTTAAGCGACGAGAATGGGTCACCTTGAATAGACTTCGAACCGGACACGGGAGAAGTGGAGACAATTTATACAGATGGGGATTGAAAGACTCCCCTGCTTGCGACTGTGGCCATTCATCTCAAACAATGGAACATATAATAAGACATTGCCCAATCCGATCTTTCAATAAACCCATTGCCGACATCCACAACATTTCGAATGCAGCTCTAACCTGGTTGAGATCACTTGATATTCCCCTATAGAAAATCACCCTACCACATAGAAGTTACCATGCTACCATAATTACTAATTATATTATACTATATGTTACTACTTTATTTTATTATTTTGTTCTATTCTTACAAATTTTATTGTGTTGTAATGCTTGTCTATAATACCATACGATAATAATAATAATAATGTCACATTATTATAATTCATACAGTCCGGAACATTATTTTTCGTTTTCTTCAGAGAATTTACATAATTCCAAAAAGGTTTAATATTTATTTGCAAACTATTTTCCAAATCTGAAATGTATTGATCGTGAGAAATTTGATTCAATTTCTTACATTTTTTTCGAAGCTCAGAAAATTCCGTGTAATTGGCAATAAAAGTACTAAGTTTATATTTTTTATAGGCACACTTCTTTTTAATTATCAGATTTCTGAGCTCAGTATTTGCCCATGCAGGGGAATAACTATTATAAATTTTAGTTTTTGGAACAAACAAACTAAATGTGTGATAAATAATTTCGTAAAAAGTGTCGACTAAGGCGTCGAGAGACAGATTTTTGTTAAGATTTAGATTGAAATCAATACTGGAAAGAAAGTGAGAGATTTCATTAAAATTACATTTTTTAAAATTTTAAATATATGGTGACTCATAATGGTGACTCATAGAGGAATTTTTAAATTTAATAACCACGTCTAAAGGAGGATGATATTTATCAATTGTATGAACCAGAGTTATTGTATTGCCGCCATAGGCACATATTATATTTATTGTAACACTGTGGTGTGCCGTCAAATTATTATAAAATTCTTATTATTTTTTCGATTCAACTTTTTCGATTATAACAATCTTATGATATAATACTCTCTACTACTTTTTTTTAATTTCTATTGCTACAAGTGAGTTTAATGTATAAATTTATTTCTACAATATAGTACTTTTTTCGCTTTATGTAATAAGAGTCACTGTTATTTCTGTTTTTTATGTGTTAACCTTTTAAAGACAGGTTAGATACAGGTTAGATGTTTTATGGAAAATAACTGTACAAGTCGAAAAGGTCAATACACAAAAAACATCACATCGTCGGCTTCGTTTGTAAATACCTCAGAATTAAAATGTTATGTATGCCAACTATCACACACTATCTACAAATGCCCAAGGCTTATCGCACTATCGCCAATCGATCGAATAAAAAAGGTAAATGACCTCAATTTGTGTAATATATGCCTACGGCGTCATGACAAAAAAAAGTGTTTTGCGCAATACTGTCTAAAATGTGCTAAGCCACATAATACAATGTTACATATAAACAATTACAAGCATCAACAAAACTCAACGACTGAAACACCGACGGCAAACAATAAAACTGCGGAAGAAACGGCCGTATCAAACACAGTGACCGTTCACGCATTTGCATTGGGTGAACAAGTATTGTTAGCTATAGTAGTAGCTCTAGCTGTGAGTCCCTATACAAAAACAACGATTCGAGCTTTATTAGACTCCGAGTCACAGAAAAACTTAATTACAGAAGAGATGGTGCAGGCGTTACGATTAAAGAAAGATAAAGTAAAGCACGTAATTAGCGGTATCGGAGAAATAGTACAACATGCGTCGTCGTCAGTATGGCTAAAAATAAAATCCCGCGTAAGTAATTATTCAGTGTATTTGCCATTGATAGTGGTACCAAAGATTACAGGTCAATTACCTCCACAAAATATAAAAACATGTAATGTTCCCGATAATATTGAATTGGCCGATCCACATTTTAATACGCCACAAAAAATTGACATATTATTAGGTGCAACACATTTTTATGAATTTTTATACGACGGACAAATACGCCTTTCGGTAAATGGGCCATTGTTCCAAAAAACAATTTTTGGTTGGGTAGCTGTTGGACCAATATCGGAAAATAGTTTATCAAAAATATCTACATCGAACGCATTTTTTAGCACAACCGATATTGAACCCACACTAGAGAACGTATTACAACAATTTTGGTTAATAGAGAACATAAGCGACACACCACCTTATACGATCGAGGAACGTACTTGTCAAGAATATTTTAAAAATACCGTTATCAGAAATAACGAAGGACGCTTTGTCGTACACTTACCGTTTAGGGACGACGTAACGAAATTGGGAAAATCGTACGAAATTGCTAAACGTCGTCTCTTAGCAATAGAACGTAAATTTCAGAAAGACAAGAAATTAAAGGAAGAATATTTCTCTTTTATGAAAGAGTATGAGTTATTAAACCATATGGAAAGGGTAGATAATAATGAATCCGAAAAAGCGGATCAAACGTGCTATTTGCCGCACCACGCCGTAAGGAAGGACAGTAGCATTTCGACAAAATTTCAAGTGGTGTTCGACGCGTCTTGTAAAACAAAGGTATTAGTCTTAATGATGTTTTATTAAAGGGCCTCGTTGTACAAGACGAGTTATTATACATTATTGCACGATTTCGGACGCATAACTATGTATTAACGGGTGATATAGTTAAGATGTATCGGCAAATATTAATGACTAAAGGGCGGATGTTCATGCATTTGCATATTTTTTTCCTTTAATAATAAAAGTTGCAAAGTAGGATAAAAATTCGTTTTTTGACATATAGAAAACGAAAGCAAAATTTTTATGTTGCATATATTTGCATATTTCCATCCATTTTTCTTTCAAAGCATATATATTTTATTAGCGCATAATAATGCATATTTGGTATCTTAAGGTTTTACTTGACATTTAACATTAAATTATTGTCTATATCAATTACTATTTTAGAAATTTTATCTTTATTGATAAATGTTATCGATTGGAAGTACCTGATGGGCCAATTAGTAATGGCTAATAGGTACATATGAGTACTCTAAATTAACGTGACAGTTTATCGTTGTCCGTAGACCGATTCACGACTTTTGCGAGTGCTTCGTTTCGCTATGGCTTCTTCGCAAATATCATTAAACCAGGTTTTTTTCTTAGTTTTTTGTTTCCCTATTGTTTTTTCTGCTTCTTGAATAAGTTGTTTTACCGTTTTCCACCTTTGTTCCACTTCTCTGCCTGACTCACTTGCAATCATCCTTCTTAACTTTTCCTCTATACCTTTTTGAAAATTCTCAACTACCATTGGATAGTTAAGGTTCGCAATGTCACACCGTCCCGTAGCTCCTCCTCTCCTTATTTCTTGTCTTCTTTTTAACTTCACTCGTAGTCTACCTGCCACAAGAAAATGATCCGAATCGCCGTCGGCTCCACGTACGGTTTTTACATCCATAATACTGTTATTAAATCCTTCATTCACCAGTACATGGTCTATTTGATTTACATGTCGTCCATCTGGTGACCTCCATGTACCTTTGTGTATGTTCTTATGAGGGAACATGGTACTTTTAACCCTTAGATTTCTTCCCGTTGCCAAGTCAATAAGTCTGCACCCATTATCATTCGATAACTGGTGTAGACTATGCCCTCCTATTATCGGCTTAAAACATTCTTCGCGTCCGATTTTTGCGTTAAAATCTCCTAATATGATTTGTACACAGCCTCTTGGTATCTCACACAGTGTATTGTCTAACAACGAGTAGAAATCATCTTTTTCATTATCATCTTTGTCCTCTGTAGGAGCATGCACATTTACGAAGACTACTCCAAACCATTTTGTATCGAGTGTCAAGATCGTTAATCTAGGGTTTATAACTTTAAAACTTTTTACAGCTATTAGTAGCTTGTTGTTTACCGCGAATCCACTTCCAGCTTGTCTTCTTCTGTCACAAGCACCAAAAAACAGCGTTGTATTACTTATTTGCATTGAACCCGTATCTTGCCACCTCAATTCCTGTAGTGCCACTACTCCTAACTTGTATCTTTCTATCTCTTTAACTACTGTTCCTACTGCTCCAGGTTTGAATAAAGTGCGTACATTCCAGGTTCCAAAACGTAATGCCGATTTCCAATTTTCCAGTCTAAAGTCCTTTGATCCACAATTCCGAGGCAAATTTATGTTTGATTCCTGAACAAGGGATTTTTACAGGATAGGTTGTTAGCCTATCGCCAACTCCATTATACCCATGGAGAGGGTAGCTCGGGGCCCCAGGTTCGCTAAACCCGTAGTACTAATTGCTTAGTACCCCCCTGAGGTAAATATCTAGTATAAAAAAAGTATTTTTAAAATGTCCTAGTCGAATCGAAATATTTAGAAAAGTATTGCCAAATATAAATTTACCTCTACAACCAATTATCACCCGTTGGGGGACTTGGATAAATGCTGCAATATATTACTGTGAAAACATACAAAACATTCGCAATGTTATCGAACAGTTTGATAGAGATGATGTAGTCTCTATACTTCAAGCAAAAGAAGTTTTATCAGAAAAATCACTAGATTCAAGTTTAATTTATATAAAATCTAATTTTAAGCTATTGGCCACTGCAATTGAAATTCTGGAAAATGACTTTATTTGATGCAATTAATATAGTAAAAAATGTAGAACAGAGTCTTAAAAATAATCAAAACGATAAAGGAATTGCCGTGTTTAAAAAATTTCAAAAAGGTATACAAAACAATAAAAGATTTGGTATACTGTGTACGATTTCAAACATTTTAAATGGTGAAGATAACACCATCAAGACAGAAGAAAACTTAACGCCTGATGATTTAACTTGTTTTAAATACGCACCTATCACATCGGTAGATGTCGAGCGAAGTTTTTCCAAATTTAAACATTTTTTGACAGACAGACGACGTTCTATGCACTTTGAAAATATTTCAAAAACAATAATTATTCAGTGTAATACACATTTAAAGTAAAACGTAAAAGTAAGTAAAACGAAATATATTTTATATTAGCAAAAAAAATTAAAACAATAATTTAATTTTTCAGATTAAATCAACAATGAAAGAAGACAAAATACAAATACATCAATTTTTTATTTAAATTATTCATCCATTTTATTTTTATTTTAAATTTTTTACCGTTTTAACAAATTTAATATTATATACTATTTCATAGCAGATTAGATGTTTTTGAACATATTTTTAAACATTTTTTAGGAATATAATTATATTTTTGAGCATATTTTGTACATTTTTTAGGCATATAATGACGTATTATCAAGCATATTTTAAAGCATATTTTAAAAATTTTTATAGCATATATTAAGGTTTTTTGGAGCATGAACATCCGCCCTTTATTAATGACTAACAAACATCGCGATTATCAAAGGATACTATGGCGCACCGATTCTAATCAACCCATACAAATATATCGTCTAAACACAATCACATACGGAACGGTGCCCACATCATATTTAGCGACAGGTTGTTTACAAGTGTTGGCCGAAACGGCACGCGAACAATTTCCATACATCACACCTATTATTAACCACGCTTTTTACATGGATGACTTACTAACTGGGGCCGATACGGAACAGGAGGTGACTAAAATACGCGATGGCTTGATCACAGTCATGAGCAGTGCTGGCCTAACATTGCGAAAATGGTCATCCAACGATACAAGTTTAATAACAAGTCTACCTAACGAAGACATAGAAATATCAAATAAATACGAGCTCGATCATTCGTTAAAAAAAATACTAGGTTTATTTTGGGATGCTACGTCCGATGAATTAAAATATAATGTGCACGAAACCAAAAGGTTAGAGGGGATGGCTGTTACTAAGCGAGAAATGCTGTCCGATATAGCTGCAATTTTCGATCCGTTGGGTTTAGTCGGACCATTAATAGTGCGAGCGAAGATATTATTACAATCGTTATGGCGTGAGAAGATCGATTGGGACGAACCCGTTCCAGTGAACATACAAGAACAATGGTTTGAGTATCGAACACAATTATCCGCGATTAACAGGTTATCGATATCACGAAAAATTACAAACAACTTAAAATCATGTGTTATTGAGGTCAACGGATTTTCGGACGCTAGTACATTAGCGTATGGATGCTGTTTATATTTAAGATGTACAGATAATGCGGGTATCCATCATACCAATCTAATATGCGCAAAATCCAAGGTATCGCCTTTGAAAACATTGTCATTACCACGACTGGAGCTTTGTGCGGCACTATTGTTAACGCGCCTAGCGAATAAATTAATACCAAAGTTAAAATTAAAAATTAGCCAACTGTATTTTTGGACTGATTCAGAAATAATATTAGCATGGATCGCCTCATCTTCGACGAAATGGAGAACTTTCGTAGCACATCGGGTAACCGAAATCCAAAACAAAACAACAAAGAACCAATGGAGACACGTTAGTACATACCCGGCTGACGTAATATCTAGAGGTTGTTGTCCATCTAAATTAATTAACCTGAACCTATGGTGGTCTGGTCCTAACTGGTTGACGGAAGATAAGTATAATTGGCCCAAATATCCAGATACTCATCAGAAATTAGAAAATATTCCGGAAACTAAAGATAATGACATTAACGTTCTGTGCGTAATCGGTCATGAAGAATTTATAGTAAATAATTATGAGTCATTAACTAAGTGTATTAGAGTAACCACTAATTGTCGAAGGTTTATAAATAACGCGCGTACGCATAAAAATGATATTAAATTAACAGGTCCTTTAATACCAGAAGAATTGGAAAAGGCGACTTTAAAGCTGATAAAAAATACACAAAATATTGGCTTCGCTAACGAATTACGGGAGCTGTCGAACGGCAAGGCAGTACCAGCCAATAGCAAACTTTTTCATCTTAGGCCATTTATCGATAGTAACGGTGTTATACGCGTTGGTGGTAGGTTGAAAAACGCCGCAACAATCGATATTTTTCAACGGCACCCCATTGCCTTACCCTCGAACTGTACGTTTGCAAAAATGTTATTTCGTGAACAACATAAAAGTCTAATGCATGGTGGTCCACAGATTTTATTAACAACTATTCGATTGAAATATTGGCCTATTAACGGTCGGAATTTAGCACGTAATACGGTGCACATGTTTTTGTAATAAACCGATTTTTGTGCAACCCATTATGGGTGATTTACCCGGTGATCGCGTCCAACCGGGACGAGCCTTTTTTAAATGTGGCATAGACTTCACCGGTCCATTTTTAATTAAGTCTAGTACATCGCGTAAATCACCGATTATCAAAACGTACGCATGTATTTTTGTGTGTTTATCAACCAAGGCCGTACATATCGAAGCAGTTAGCGATCTAACGACAAAAGCATTTTTAAACGCGTTAAACCGGTTTTTCGACCGCCGCGGTAAGAGCGCTGTCATATATAGTGATAATGCGACTAATTTTGTCGGCGCTAATAGAAAACTAAAAGAAGTACATCAATTATTCCAATCAAAACAAGAAGAATTACAACGACATTTTACTAATGTTGGTGTAAAATGGATATTCATCCCTCCGCATTTGTCACTCTTCGGCGGACTGTGGGAGGCCGCAGTCAAGTCTATGAAAATACTATTAGGAAGGGTAATAGGCGAAGCTCACTTAACTTATGAAGAGTGGTGTACTGTATTAACGCGCGACGAAGCATGCTTAAACTCGCGTCTCTTAACCACTTTATCATCCGACCCTTCTGATCCTAGCCCCCTCACCCCCGGGCACTTCTTGATAGGAGACTCTCTAACCGCGTCACCAAAAGATATAACCGCTACGCCAGTTAATCGATTGACACGATGGCGTAGAGTCACCCATTACTCTCAACAATTATGGCGTCGTTGGAGTAAAGAATATCTGTGTCAGCTTCAGGAGAGGTCCAAATGGTCCAAGGAGAAGGGTCCCAAGTTGAACGTCGGAACAGTGGTTCTAGTGAAGGATGATAATCTGCCTCCATTACAGTGGCGATTGGGAGTAGTCAATCACGTCTTTCGAGGGTAAGACGAAATCATTCGATCAGCCGAAGTAATGTCAGCTGGCCGTAAGGTAAAAAGGGGGGGGGGGGTTCGAAAGTTATGTCCACTTCCCTTTGAGAGCAATATTGAATAAAAAATTATTTATTATAATCTATAAAATTTTAATGTTATTACACAATATGATATTAAATCATGTCAAACTAAAATAGCTGTTGTCTTATTATTACGCGATATTATCTTATCTTTATCTATAAAATGTATATGCGTGTTATTAGTCACATTTTCTATCTCTATAATATTATTATTATTTATTTTTATTTATTCAAATTATTTACGTGTTTGTCAAATACTTTTGTTCATCAACATTTTTTGTAAATGAGCCATTAATTTTAATTGTTATGTTTGTAATTATTGAAAAATGAGATTGGTAAGTTATTTATTTATATTATTATTTCTTTGATTTTTATATTTTTTTTTTTTTTGTTATAATATGCTGCGATGTATCTGTCTTCTGTATAATGAGTATTTTGAGCCAAAATTATTAATATTATTTTTTTTTTTGTTTATGTTGAAAATCAATATTTTCAATGCCGGGAATATGTTAGCGCTCGAATGTTATTAATTTGTTATCTTATTATCGCACGCTGTCTAGGATATATATTATTGTCGATGTATCATGTCGTATCTACAGGTAATCATTTTGTATTGTATAAAGTCAGTCGCGTATCGAAAGTCGAACCGAGCACAGCGAGCGACCATACAACTATTTACGTAAAATAAAGCTATACAGTCCACTTGTAAACTAAATTTTTTCTTTATATAAAGATTTGATTCCACCCAGGAACTAACAGTAATGCTTCAGCAAGATCGGAATTAAAATCACTTTTCTTGTTTATATTTTGTGTAAATAACGGTTGAACTGTACTTTGTTCGCGTCTTTTTCGGAGATTTACTGCATGCTCATGCTTTGCAGTTTTCAAGTGTTGTGTTACTAAAAATCGTTTACTTGCAAATACATTAACTTCACACAATTTGCAAAATAATATTTTACCATCGGAACTAAATACATGTTCCCCAAATTCTTTCACAAAACTACTTAAACTTGACGAAAATTTCGGCATTTTGTGAATAATAATTATATAAAAAAAAAAAAACGTGTATCAGAAAAATTGTATAGTTTAATAAACACAACAACACAACATATGAGGACTGCAGCAAACTGAAAATATTTAATGTCAACAAAATATAAACTCGTCGAAAATGTAGATAAACCCCACCCAAGCAGTCAATCTATACTGTTAAGCGGCCCCTAGACGATCAATAATATTGTCAATAATATTGAC